ACATACATCCCCACATGCACGGAGTGTGTGTGTATATATGTGTGTGTGTGTGTGTGTGTGTGTGTGTGTAGTATATATATATACACACACACACACACACACACACACACACACACACTCCGTGCATGTGGGGATGTATGTCTAGGATATATAAAACTGTAACCAATGTGATACAAAGTGGATGAAGAATTAAATAAACAGGTAGGCATTTTTCAAACTAATATACCCAGTTTTCTGATGCTTCATCCATTAATTTTGTTTATTCATGCTCATAAGCAATGTACAAACAGGGGGACTCCTCAAATGCAGGATTTTCAACTGTGCCCATTTAACCCTGCCCTGTTTTGAATTTTTAAGTCCTTAAAGATGAAACACTTGGTAGCAAAATTCATAGACAAGCTATAAACAGAAGGAGCGTACAGCTTTAAATAATTATGTCAAAGAAATGACAACTGAGCTCTTTGCAAGAGCAGGGATGAATAATTACAAAGCTGGGACATAATTAAGCAATTTTGACTGTCGTATTCTTAAGCTGTCGTTCTGATGTGAAGTGCTGTCATGCCCAGCAACATACTTCACACTGGACAGGCATCTTCCACTTTGATCTACACTTATGCCAGTGAAATGAGGTCACAGTCTGGTCATTAAATGAGGCTTCCTCATCTGGCTCAATGCCCCTTATCCAGCCAGGCTTACAAGATTTTTATTAAAATCAAGCATGATACAACATTCAATATTTTGACAGAGGAAAATAAAAACATCACAGAGTAATGAAGTTTAGCTCACTTTACATGGAGAGATGGAACAGTGCATTGTAACGTTAAACTGTTTTCTAATGAATGACTGCATCTCTCTATCAGACAGTCACATCACAAACAGATGCATTTTAAACAACAAAGGATGAAATGAAGCAAAGGACAAGAAAGTGCAGTGTCTTGTTAAAAAAATAAAAACCTGAGACATAAATGTAAGTATAGGAATGTATACAATATAAAATATTTATGACTTTGCAAAGACTTGTGATTGCCAGATACTTCTGCATTTGTGTAAATAAAAGCTGGCTGATGAAAACGTCCTGACTTTATTCTCATTTCTTGTGTTGTTCTTAGTGGGTCATTCTGCTCTCCCACTTATTTTATGGAAAGAATAAAATGACACATCACAGCCTCTTCCAGTTATCAATCTGCCTTGTGGTGGTTTTTTGGCTTTTTTTTTTATTTTTTGGCTGAATACGTTTTTCTATCTCCTGCTTACCATAATGAAAGAAACCTAACTTCAAACTTGATTTTGTTATGAAAAATAAGTCTAACAGGTTCAGTGTACTACAATACTCAGGAAAATATTTCCATATGGCATCTATTCAAACCCTCACAACACATTCCAATTCCACTAATTATCACAAGCTAAATATGAGTCAGTAATGTAACACAGTTGCAAAAAAAGCAAACATCATTCTGGGATGTATTAGCAGAATTGTTGTAAACAAGACACAAGTAGTAATGTTTCCACTCTACTCCATGCTGATTAGGCCTCAACTGGAGTACTGTGTCTAGTGCTGGGCGCCACATTTCAGGAAAGAGTGAACAAATTGGAAAAAGCCCAGAGAAGAGCAACAAAAATGATTAAAGGTCTAGAAAACATGGCCTATGAGGGAAGATTGAAAAAACTGGGTTTGTTTAATGTGCAGAAGAGAAGACTCAGAGGGGACATGATGCCAGTTTTCAAGTACTTAAAAGATTGTTACAAGGAAGAGGGAGAAAAATTCTTCTCCTTAACCTCTGAGGATAGGACAAAAAGCAATGGGCTTAAACCTCAACATGGTCTGTTTAGGTTGGACATTGGGAAGCACTTCCTAATTGTCAGGGTGGTTAAGCACTGGAATATATTGCCTAGGGAGGTTGTGGAATCTCCATTACTGGAGATTTTTAAGAGCAGGTTAGACAAACACCTGTCAGGGATGGTCTAGATAATACTTAGTCCTGCCATGAGTGCAGGGAACTGGATTAGATGACCTCTCGAGGTCCCTTCCAATCCTATGATTCTACTTGCCCCCACCCATGTACAGTATAATTAATTCCCTTTATCCAAAATCCTAGGTATCCAAATGCATAGTATGCCTCCCATGTAGTCCTATGTAGTTAATAGGACTTCCATTTATCTGAATGCCCAGTTGCCTGAAACTTTAAGATACCCCCAGGCCATTCAAATGAATGGGAGAGTACCATATATACTTGTATATACACACACAACGGTTGCCACTAAAAAGCATAATTTCTCAATAATTATCACACCATGATTTCTGCGATATGACAGTTTTTCCCATTCTAGAGTATCATTTTTGTGGAAACTGGGAAAATATTCCTTTTAATCGTTTTCACTGTATCTGTATATGTGTAGTATATCTCTAAATATACGCACACACACTGCATCTACAAACAGTTCCATCCATGCAAAATATGCTTACATATTATATGTCTGAACATCCATAGAAGAACACACTCACCCAGAGCAATTGTTCGTTTTTATCTGTATATTCAAACTCAATTACAGTTGCTTATTTTAAATTGTATAGTATATAACTTTGTATGATTAAGATAATTCTGTAGCACACTTACAGATATTTACTCATGCCATCAGAAAGCATTTACAAAGGTATTTTATCATGCTAGATAACATCAGCAATCCTGTAACAAAAATTTTTTTTCAAAAAAAAAAAAAAAAATACAACAAGGCTACAGCAACACTAAATTTAAACCCTGTGCTAAGAGAATTGTTGAAATAAATGTATTTTTTATCTTTAAGACTTAGGGGGCAACTAATTCAAAACTACACAGTGGACTAAATTAGTAATACAAAGGATAAAGTTTGGATCCTGTCTATGAGAACACCTTACCCGTAGCAATTGGTTTAACAGCAAACACAAATAAGTACCATCCGATAAAGTAGGTACACACTTGAACAGCCACTGTCTCCTGCACTAGTCGAAACACAAATGATAGATTTATAAATGAAGAATGTAACTGTTAATAGCATTAGAATAAAACTTCACTAATAATGACCTAGTAGATAGAAAGAGAATAATTATAAAAAATAAATGGCATAAGCACAACATAATTTACACATTTCAACTGCTGAATTTTGCAAGATTTAGTAAAGAATATTCTGTGAGGAAGCTTTTCACAAAAGCTTAGAAATAAAATGTTTTCATTTACTACACACTGTATTATAAAAGCTGAAATAGCTAAAGGTACTTAGTAAACAATATGTCAAACCTATGCCTGAATAAGAACTGTTAGCATTTTAGTAGTTATAAAATGAATCAATCTGAATTAATTTGCTATCTACTGCAATTGTACTGGTGATAACGAATTTATCTAGTAACACTTATGCCATCAAATATAGTGTAGTTCCATTGCTGCTGCACTATTATTCAGCATTATTGGAAATCTGCAATAAATTATTGATGATGTATTTTCGAGAAGAAAACAGCCTACAGAAACCTACCAGATTAATAAACTTGAAAAGAATTTTAGATAGCTAATCATTTCAAGAGATATTTGTAATGCTACAAATACACTGAAATACTAAGGGAGCTGTTATCTTGTACTGATCAATGATGAAAGATGGCAAACTGGAAAAATTGCATCTGTATTCTGTTTGAGTCAAAGGCATGCAATTTGCCCAATTTTGAGGCAACTGGTGTGAGAAAGCTTGAGTCTGAATCATAGATTAGAGAAACTGTCTCTCCAACATCAACACTCATTAATATGACACCACATTAAATTACATTGTATCAACTAAAGGTCAATAAACACCATAGGTGTGAGCTCTGAGATCAACATCTGTGTACAACATGCATGGCAGGGGACAAAGTGTCAGAAAAATTTCCTTCTTTTCTAACATATCACAGAGTTGTTATAGATCTTTAGAAAGAGCAAAAATATTCTTTTGATCCTGGCAACATGTGTCTGTTAGTTAGTTATGGTTCAAACCAGCATTTCAACTATGATGCAACAACCACGGTCCGTTAATCAGATTTAACAGTAAAATTCTGATCTTCAAAAATACAGATTAAGGATTTTTTTGTCCCACACCTGATTCAATAAGCAATACTGTGGCCTACAAGGTCTCTGTCCATTGCTTATACATAGCTTTTACCAACCTTTCAGAATAGTTGTTTTAAAGATATATTACTGTTTAACAAAGGTATACATAGTTACTTTTCTCTAATTTGCAAAGTGGTAGGCAAGTGGGATCAGTGTATGTTATAAACTCCATTTAGTCTCCTACCTTAGCATCCATGGGCTTTACCACTTTCATGAAGGCACCTCGTAACAAGGCTTCCTCACGCTCCCATTTGGTTACTTTCCGAGTATCAAGAAATTTCAGGTTGGTCAATTTGTGCAGAACAAAATACCTAAAAGAAATGACAAAACGTTTGAGTTAAAATCCACATTGACATACAAATCCATCTTCACAAATTATATGACTCAAAAAAATATACAATTGAAATGACCTCTCTTTCCCCAGTCTTTCACCCATGCCCTATAATCTAGCCTACTCTACTCTACATCAGGAAACTGATATTTTCCCTTTGTGAATGCAATACTAAGTGGACCAGGGATACTCTGTTGTAGATGCACACCCCAATGAAGCATTATTGTGATGTATGACACATGGGTCAAATTGGAAAAGGCAGCTTTCTGAGAACGTAAATACAGAGACTAGATACAGCGAGTCTGTTAAGCACGACTTCCAATTTTTTTTTAAATTTGTTAAGTGTAACATTCTCTGATATCCTGCTGGACAATTTGGACATGGAGTTATGTTAAAAAATAAAATAAGATAAAAAACACAGAATCTTCTCCACCTGTTGTGCAGTTTTGTAATGCTCAGGTCTTGAGTCACAAATTCACCTTCAAACTTTTATTGACTTTTGCTACAAATACACCTCTACCCTGGTATAACGTGGCCCGATATAACACGAATTCGGATATAACATGGTAAAGCAGTGCTCCGGGGGGGGAGGGGGGGGAGGGCTGCGCACTCCAGCGGATCAAAGAAAGTTCAATACAACGCGGTTTCACCTATAACACAGTAAGATTTTTTGGCTCCTGAGGACAGCGTTATATCAGGATAGAGGTGTACAACAATCATCATTAGCAACATCAGGTAAATTGCATATTAGGGTTTTGATCCAGCTTCCCATCACATACCCTAGAAAGTCTCATGAATTAAAGATAATATTCCAAGGTACACAGAGATGTATGCTGTGCATCAAAGGGCATTTAAGTGTCTTATTAAAAACAAGACTTTATCTAGAGATGGTACTGAGCAATAGAATTTGTATCTGGCTTCAAGATCGGAATTTTGACCCCGCCACAGTTTGGAGATATGGTTCCAGTTTTGTCTCGTTACTGATATGGGCCCCATTCATCTAAACCTGGCTCAGGTTTAGATTCCAAAGTGCGCACGCATGCTCTTACACACACACACACACACCCAAATTTTGGACAGGTGTTCAGATTCAAAGTTCTTGTTCAGTCCCATTGCTAGTTCTCTGTAACTGCATGTTTTGATCAGATAACAAAAGCTTCATTAGCTTGAAAAATACTGTTGGCTCCTTACATACAGAAGTAGAAAGCACGGCATGAATCAAAAGCAAAACCAAACACACAACTACTTCAAGTACCTGCTATTTACATACAGTCAACCAGATGTGAAACAGACTTTGCAAAGGGAGGAAGTGCCAGACTCTTTCTTGACAGGGGGCGGAAAGGTGATTGATAATATTCCCCATGCCTAGCTGCTTCCCATAAACACCCAATCAGTCAGTCAAACTGGTAATCATACTGACTCCCTCTGGCATCTGAAAGAACTCACACACATCCAGAAGTCCCAGAAAACCTTGCACAGTGCATATGGCTATATTTTAAAGAGAAAAATAGTGCTATTATGTTAAAGGTCAGAGTTACCTTCAAGTACTCCTTAGTTCTGGAATCTCCTTCACTAGAGGTTTCAAAAGGAGGCTGGATAGTCATCTGTCTTAGATGGCTTAAACACAACAAATCCCGCATCTTGTTAGGCTAGATAACCCTTGGAGTCCCTTCTAACCCTATGGTTCTATGATTCTATGATTAACTCTAAGAGATTCCAGATTTGTCCCAAGTTGTGAGACCAACAGCGTTCATGCACATCACAATGTTTTTATTAATTATTTAACCTTTCTACATCCAGACAAAAAAAAATGCTACAAAGCAGCCTTTCAGCTATATACACCTTTCCTCTGAGGCAATGGCCTTGTAAATTTTTAACAAGTGAATTGAATATGTTCACTGACACACATGGTCTACAATTTTAATATGAATCATCAGCCTATGCACTTCAATTAAATAATAAAAACAGAATAATAGTAATAAACTATGCAAGATGAGAAGTGAGTTTGCTACGTAGAACATGTCCCAAGACAATTTGTTCAGTGTAGCTAGATATTAGAGATACTGCCATACTCTCAGACACCTCACATCTTTCCTGGCTGCCCTTCCAGTCCTTCCTGACATTCTGCTGCCCCGTATCTTTCCTGAGAAGAGAATACATACATCTTGTGTTACTGGCAGAAAAGCTCGGATGACAACAGATTCTTTCAAACGAAGACATGTACAGAAGGAAATAATATGTCAAGAGCGAAGCTCCAAATGAGCAAAGACACCCACTAAGTGTAGGGTGAGAAAAGATGAATATTCAGGTGAAGAAAACATCAGTATTAGAAAATCAGCAAATGTTTAATGATGGAATGAAAGATGCCATCAAAAAGCAGGCAGCAACAAAACTGACAACAGATGAAGACAGCCCTGTCATTTTTGCTGACTTTGGATCACAGCCTTAAATGTCAGTCTCTCTGTCATTTTAAGAGAACTTAAACTTATAACAGAATTGTTTCTACGGGAGTATTTTTCTTCTTTTCTCACTCGGGTTTTTTAAAAAAATATTCCAGAATTAGGGCCTTATCTAAAAAAAACCCACAAAATAATTAGCCAATGGTGTCACCAGGACAGAAGTATTTTCAGGGTTCCTAGTGGGGCAGATGTTCTACACGGGATGATAAAACACAAAGGCATGCTGTAACGGACTTTAAAAAACTATCTGTCATTAGGAATAAAGTATCCCAATAATGATGCAGTTTAAAAAGAGCCAAAATTAAATTACAACTGAATGTTAAAGATATAATTACAAAGGTTTTTAATAAAACAATTGTTGAAGGCCAGCATATGACTTCCAGGGTATATTTTAGTTAACAATATAGTTCATTTGTGATGCAAATTCAGCCTAAATGTAACACCAATTTGCCATAAAAAAAAATCTATAAAAGATTACTAAAGCCCCGGAATGAGTACTACAATATCAATTCAACCCTTGTAAATATTATCCAGGGTTATTTGTTGCACAAAATCTCCTTGCTGTGATGTATGACTTAGTTACTAAGGTTATCACAGCAGTATCCTAAAGTTGCATAGTACATAAAACATTTCAGTTAACAATGCAGGAAGGTTAACTCCCACAGATAACCTACTATCAGAAGGTTAGCCCAGATGACATGCCTCTGTCAGCTTCCAGGAGCTATTGATGGTTCAATCAGTTTGTTTTGAAGGTAAAGTACAACAAAAGGGCACTAAACTTATTCAAACTGTCAACAGGGACTATCTGGAATGTTGCTTGCAGGTAAGTAATTTTGGGTGTTTTAAGACTATTATCAAACACCAATGGCTGCAGAAAAAGACAGCTACTAATAACACAGAGTGCAGCTATCATAAAATACTTTATGGCAGGCACTGGGATCTATAAATTGCATGACACATTGCAACTGCTTTAGACTTATACCATTGCCAGTTAAAAGAATACCATTGAATGAAAAAAATTCATCTAAATTTTACATTCTAAATTTAGAATATTTTGTTTTAGTTTAGGAGTTGGTTGGGTTTTTTAATGATCATTTTGAATCTTAGTACTGCTGGCTAAGGTGCTCTGAGACTGCTGTTGTGGGGCTGACCATCTTTGCAGTAGTGTGAAAGAAGATTATTATCTGTAGTGATGAAGAAAATGGTGCGCTCTGGAAAGGGATGCTAGGAAGGTGTGTAAAGACCCAAAGGAAACCGGCTATACAAGGAAAGCAACATCATCTTTCATCCAAAACTTCCCCTCCCTCCCCCCTCAACTGTGTTAGGAAAGTAAACTAACAAAGGGGACCAACACAAAACAGAAGTCTAGATCACTTGTAGCTGTAGGTGGAGAAAAAAAAAACAGTACACGGAATATCGCATTCCATTTTATCTCAGCTTTAAATAAGTGGAAATTACAATATGGACTAAAATTCATTTACCAATTCCGTAAGTGTTCCATGTGATTAGGATTGTTTTAACATTTTTTGCACAGACCTGTCAAGACATTAAGGGGATATTTTCAAAGGGATGCACGGGTTGGTGATTCAGTTATACAACTCCACCACCAATGTTAATGAAAGTTGTATGGAGATTTTCCTCCCCAATACTTGACAGAGGTGTTGAGGTCAGAGTACTGGAACCAGACTGAGGAAGATGTGAGTTGTAATACTAAATCAACACACACACTTGCACTTTTATATGCATAATATACAAACACTGAATAAACAAATAATAATATTGTCTCCAATACTGACTTACTCCACAGCCTTAGACAAGTCATAGACAGGGGTGCTGGAACAATTTGTATAGTGGGGGTGCTGAGACCCATTGAACCAAACTATAAACCCTGTATATGATGGAAACTATTTCAAGTCATGGGGTGCGGCAGCATCCCCAGCACCCCCAGTTCCAGCCCCTATGGTCACAGACTTTCTATGTCAGTTTCCTTATTGGTAAAATGGGGGTAGCAACATTTATCTACCTTGCAGGGATATTGTAGGTATTAATTAATGTTTATAAAGTGATTTGAAATGGAAAGCTTTATGTAACTTATTTTTAAAAGGTACTCCAAGGTACATCTACATTTCCAGCAGTAGGTAAAGTACAGACATTGAACTCCCAGCTGGCACGGGTATAAACAGCAGAGTAGACAATGAGGTACAGCTTAGACGAGTAGAACAAAGGGCCCTAGACATCTGAACCCCTAGAGTCAATATCCTATACAGCTCTCTACATGCCCAAGCAGTGCCTCCCACATCTATACTGCTATTTTTAGCAGTGTAGTGTCCCAATACCAGAGCCTTTCCCCACCACAGTGAAAGGCTCCAGTGAGGGGAGGTAGTGGGGAAAGGTTCTAGAAACAAGGGAAAGGCTCTGACAGGAGGGAGCTACCAGAGCCTTTCCCTGCTGCCTGAGCCTTTCACTGCCACAGATAGGTACACACTGCAGCCACAAGCATGAACCTAGCCTGCCTTTCTCT